TTGGTATTTCGAATCATTTTTATCAGCGCCCAACAATCGGCGTGATTTTGATCGTTCTCGAGACGAATTATGCACACGTAAGTTTTCGTTGAATTTCGCGTAAGCGCAGAAGCGGAATATTTATTACCCGAGTGGAAATTTCGTCTTTTGCAAAGTCGGCGAAGGCACGCAAATAACGACGCGCTTTTTCGGCAAACCTGGTTTCATATTCAGCAAATCGATATTTGAAGTGGGACACTGGCATTCATGTCGGCAATTTTTCATTCAAAGTGAAAGAATTCAAACGGTAGCTCGTTTCAACTTTGTTTTTCTGTTCTTCAATTTCGCGCTAGACGAAAAGTCGATCAAAATAAATTCTGCAACGTGTACAGGTATATCTAATTAGCGGAACTGAGTGAAATTCGAACGAATCGTTAGAAGGCGAACAAAAGTATCGATAGTAATCGTGCAATAAACGGTAAAGCAGATTAGGATTCAAATTCAGATTCAACAATCGAACTTTCTCACATTTGTCTAATTAGTATCACGTATTTTTGTAAATAAAGCAGGACTTTAAACGTTTCATAAATCAGAAATTAAGTGCAAGCTGACTGAAAGACCGAAAATGAATAAGAATTTATAAAATTAAAGGCAGCAGTTGTTCGACTTTCCATCGTTTTGCTTCTCTTGTAGACGAAATAACTCTCTAATTACTATTTTAATTACTAATTTAACTTGACATTATTGTTTACTTTGGAATAATCATCGCCAGTTTCTTACTGTTACATTTGTCGCATCACCTTGTACCATATTTCTCGTATCGAAACATTAAACAGTTTACAGATTATCAAAGTATTACCTTAGAAACCTTCTGTTACAAAATATTACCACCGTTTCGTTACAAAAACTCAGAATATATCGTTTGTGGCTCGAAAACGTCCAAGGCAACATCTAAAGCCGTATATTGTGTGATAATCGTGTAATCGTTTCAAATGGAAACAACAACAAACTACTTTGAAAGAAAATTTCATTCGCTCCTCGGAATGGGAATCTCGAGTACGACATTTTGTCGACAACGTTTGCACGTCTCTTTGGCAAATTCACTTTTGCTTCTCGTTCTCAATACACGTTCACGTGAACTGCTTGAGTTTACTCCCGAACAAGACGATCCAGTCGATCGTTTTGTCAACATGAATCCAACAGGCAGTCTGTGTAACAAAACATTCGTGTTATGCTAGGTGATTGATTAACTGTAAATGTAAAAAAAAAAAGGAAAAGAAGGAAAATTACACTAACGTTCGTTCTAACAGTTAGAATTTTTCGGTATCCTTGAGAAAACAATGATTTTCTTTGTGTAAAATGGTTAAGCAGTTCTTAGAATATAACACCGTAGAAAGTATTTACATTTTGATTAACGTTAATTGTTGTATAAACGTTGCGTGCGCTTAAGCACGTTTTCTTTCTTTTTAAATTACCGTTCTGCTTTATTCTATTACTAGCGACCCTTAGTATTTTGTATCTCACAATCAACAATACGTGAAGTGTATAATTGAAACGATGAATGAGGCAGTAATCATTTGTATGTAAGTACTATATATATATTGATGTTCGGTCTATTAATAATTTATAATAAATTATAGAAGCGAGATTAAACAAGTCCATAAGTATCGTGATTCTCAGAACGTTTAATCGAATGTAATCACCATTGCTTAATTATTCTTTCCTTCGTTTAGCTTTACTTTATACCGGAAGTCTTGTATCGATAACACGTTTCGACGAACGTTTCCCTCGACGTGTACTAAATATAAGAGATTCGTCGTACCGGTATAATTTTCTGTGTCACAGTAGCACGTGCAATAAATTCTTCGATCTCTCGTTACTCTTTCATTTTCTCACGTCTTTCAAGTAATCGTATGCCTTAAAGCTTCTTCGTTTCAAAGTCTTCTACGTCCACCGGGTGCAAAAAAAAAAAAGAAATGGTTTTTAACGTAAACGGAGCATTTCACGCTTCGGAAATCAAACGGATAACGTGAAATCATGTCTCGAAGAGGTTTTTTATTCCTTATCCTCTTCCATCGGCTTTGATGCATTCGCTTGAAACTTCCTTTAGCCTTACGTGGCCCGTGGGTCTCACACGACATAAATTGGATCCTTGCATACCGATATCCTTGCTTCTTGTAGAATCCTTAACCTTGGCCCTAGGGGAACCCCCATTTTTTGCAACCTCTCTTCACTCAGGTAAGGAAGCTCCACCATTCCAACCTTTTCCTTCTCGAACGCATTTGCGTATTTCTGTAATAACATAGAATTTCTTTTATTCGTCGTTTCATTTGTAGGAAATTCTGCTGGATGTTATGGAAAATAAGCGAAACGTTGCAATGAATGACCAGTCTTACAAAGACAGCAGATAATTGAGCTGGAATTATTTGCAAGCACGTTTCGAAAGACATCCAGTTGGTATTAAAGTATTATTGTAAATATTGTTACTAATAATGCAAAAATATACAGGGTGAGTCGGTAAGAACTAACTTACCTCCTGCTGGTATCAAAAAACGGTTTAAATGAATTATGTAGCATTAGAAAGGGTGCATTAGAAGGATGCGACGAAATAGATTTTTTGATTTCAAGGTGACCTCAATTTTCTGCACGATCAATGCATATTCTTTGTTAGTTATATTCAGAGTAATCGGTAACGCTCTCTTCAGTTCATTGACTTTTTTCTCTCTCAACTGTTACTGTTACCAACGTGGTTTTGAGCTATGCTCTTCTCTATATTATAATTAAATATATTTAAAATAAAGTTATAGTTCTGTGCAATTCTGACATTCTTTTTAATGCTGCGTTGTAGCAGATGAAAAGACAAATTCAGCGACCTATAATAAGTTGACCTTGAAACTCGAACTGAGATAAAATATTTAGTATAAGTTGTACAAAAAGTATAACATAGAAGAAATCTAGTTGCATCCATCTGATCCCTAATTCCACCAGTAATTCATTCAAACCGTTTTTTGATACGAGCAAGAGATAACGAGTTATTTTAGATGTTAGTTCTTATCGACTCACTCTGTATATTTCGAACATTTCGTTGATGAAAGGTCTATTGGTGAATTAATTTATAATCGTTTATAAGTAGTTGCGATAACTATATGTAAGCAAAGTAATATGCAACAACTGTGTTACATATATACGAATATTAATATAATCGCAATACGGATTATAGTTTGTGAAAGTACAACTGAACTTTACATTGAATATACACAGCCGTTTATACGTATTAGGACAACTGTTACGTTCGTGCAGATTTGCGTTACATTTTGTCACCAGATTTAGTACCACATGTCGGTAAAGATGTACAATTCTTTTCAGGGTCTTAATAATTTTGTAATTGTTTTTGTTCGTTTCCTGTTCAGTAAGTGCCCTAATTTTTTTAAACGACAGTACACTTCAGATGAAATAAATTTACTTATACCTTCTTCTGCAAAATTTTGTAACTGTTACATTGTGAAATTTAAGATTTCATTGATGTTACTTGAGGGGTCTTCCTACTGCGACGGTTGAAAAAAGCTTAATTTTTCGGAAATTTAAAACAAAGCAAGTGCTACACGTATCCTTTTGAAAATTTGTACGTTCATTCTACCATCTTTCAAGAACACAAAAATATTTTTTATAAGTGAAAATATCCATTTGTTGTAAAATAGAACCATCGTGAAGAGAGCCTTGAAAAATGTCCTTCCCGATGGCTGTCATGATATCAAACGTTGTACTTATCCAAAATACAAAATACAGACATATTCTTAATCTGTAGACGCGTGGCTGTCGTCTGAATTAGAATATTAAAAAAATATTGAGAAATAAAGAAATGGCAAGGTTTCAAAGAAATTGCTTTCGAATTTAGCAAAAGAAACGATTACATTTTTCTTTACCTCAAAGACTGAATTTTGAAAATATTCGCAACAATTCTAGTTCAGACGATAAAGCAACATCTACTGAATATACCTGACAAATTTCGAGTGAATCGGACTTCTGGTTTTTTGGTAATTGTGTCAGCCAGTTTCAAAAATGCTGTTTAACTACAGTTTGAGGCTATACGAAACCGCTTCCTTTCAAGGCATGTATCTCTGCCAATTTTGAGAATTAAGCTTCAAAACTTCGTGGACATATTTTCGAGATGTGAAACTACAAGAAAATGCAAAAGAAAATTGATTTTTTTAACCCGTCACAGTAGGAAGACCCCTTAAATAGCGATTCGAGAAACTCACCAAAAGTGCTGCAGAGTGGTGCAATGAAATAGAGTTGCAGCAATCGATAGGGTTTATTCGACCAATTGGTACACGAACGCGGTTAAGAACACGGAAATGATAACTCGGATTACGTACTTCATACCCAAGTTCCCTGAGGAATAGTCGAATGAGAGGTGGTTCTGTGCCGAAGAATTTCGTGAGCTTCTTTACCCTCGAAGGATTCGAGAGGGCTGGTAATTCGGAGTCCTTGATCAGTGGTTGGGATTGCGACCTCACCATTGCCATGCTCGTTTGCGTCCTGAGTGCAGCAATCTCGCCCCTTATGTTCTCCATTTCCTGCGAATACCTGGTAGTGGTGAGTTTCGGAAATTCTGGCTCGTTTTCCGCTTATTTTACTCTTATGTATCCCCTTCACTCTGTTTTGGTCAACTGACCGTGAACTTTGTTAGCTTACTCGAAGATACACTGGACAAATTTGAATTTAAGCGAGGAATACTAATTTTCGATGTTTACTCACTTGTTTAAATTAACTTGCCGAAATAGCCTTGGTAAAGGAACAATGGCTAAGATTTAGTTATGAGCCGTTCACGGGCCAAAGTGGTTAAATCTACTTTTTGAGTTTTTTTTTTTTAATTTCAGTGCTAAAACATTTGATCGATGCTTATCTTTTTATATTTAAAATAAATTTTCTTAATAATTAGGCTTAACACCACTGAGTGACGATAATTTTTGTGATCGTTGTATGATAAATAATTCATTTCAGAAGCCAATGTTAATAACTTCATACTGCGAAGTTAATCGTTGTAATAATGTAATTCAAACGCTTGTAAGAATTTAGCTAAGTAATTTTCTAATGCAATATTAATATTAATATTTATATATGATGTACATAATTTCATCAATTTTCTCTACTTTTTGTTCTGTCGAGTTAACCGATTTGGCAAATGAGCTATTGTTCAGTTTTATTTAAAAAGGCGATGGTCTAACGAATTTAATTGTTTGTAAATTGAGTTAAATTGCTTTTAAAATTCAATTGTATGTTTTAACCCTATTTTTAGAAAATACGTTTGTAAAAAGCGTCAAGTATAAATACATATCAACATTTCGTGTATTTTTTAAAAACAAGCTATCGCTTAATGTTTATAAAATTAATTTATACTGTGCATGAAAATGAAAAAGGAATTTGAAAGTTTCAATTATTCAATTGAATTGTAAGAATATCTACCGAATGCGTTTAGATTACACAGGGTGTCCCGTAACGTTGGGACCACCCGGAAATTGGGGGTTGCTGGGGTGACCCTGAACAACTTTTTCCTTATCCAAAATGTAGTTTGAAGCTTCGTTTTCGAGTTATTAACGAAAAACACTGGCCAATCACAGCGCCCGTAGAGCCCGCGCTCAGGGGCGGAGAACAGAGGCTCATCCGCGCGCGATCGAACAAATGCGTACGCGTGACTTATCTACAAAACGTATTTTTTAAATTTTCATTACGTGCTCAGATATAAAAGTTGTAAAAACGACCTTCGCTATTTTCTTCGCGATTCCGACTAATTGCAGTTTTTTCAAAAATTTATACAAACGTCGGAATGACGGCTAAAAACCATTTCTCTAAGCCTTATAAAAATAGCGGTGCAAAGTGAAATTTTTTTGACAGCGATCGATAACCGAGAAGTCACGCGTACGCGTCGTTCACGATAGCGCGCTCTATTCGCCCGTCCCTGAGCGCTGGCTCTACGGGCGCTGTGATTGGCCAGTGTTTTTCGTTAATAACTCGAAAACGAAGCTTCAAACTACATTTTGGATAAGGAAAAAGTTGTTCAGGATCACCCCAGCAACCCCCCATTTCCGGGTGGTCCCAACTTTACGGGACACCCTGTATTTATTTTTTTCAAGACTTAATTGCAACGTAAAGAATTATGAAATTATTCCATATATTAGGAAGAGGTCAATATTTCAAACACTAATCACAAAATTTCCCGACATTTTCAAATGTTAGTGTAGATAAAAAGTGCGTCGAATTAAAAGTAAGATGCAAAGACGAATATTATTAATTAAGTTATAGAATACGAAGGAAGAAGCACTGAATAATTTATTCGCTATTTAAGCAATTACTATGATTAATATTATGATTTTTATGCTTTAATAAGGTTTTGTAACAATAACACTAAAGTTTCGAGTAACAAGAGTATTAACGTGTTGAATTAAATACAATCCAATAGGCTTTCAAATCAAGTAATTGATTTTTTATTATTTTAGTACAAGAAATGCACAATATACCTGGAATTTATATTCATTCTCAATACTAATTCATTGACGAATAGGTATAATATATCACCATTCAGCCATAAACAATTATAATTGACTATCAACATATAAGTAACTAACAAGGGATTACTTTCAGTGAAAAAAGCAAACAAAAAAATACAATCTAGGTGTATAGTTCATAAAAATTCACTTTCAAATGTTAACGAGATCCTCTCACCTGTATCATTAAGTGTTGCGTCCTCATTTCTGAACTTAAGTGCGCCACTGATCTGGCAAGTGTAACTACGTGAGATTCTAATCGTTGGAAACGTTTGTTAATACTCTGGAAAAGCAAGAAAAGAAAATCGAATCATTTACTGAAACACAACATACAGAAATCATCATCGTAAAACAAATTTATTATCGATGTTCTATTTCACGTAAAAATAGAACAACACATTTATTTATATTACAATTTTTCACAGACTGTCACATATTATTCGGTCATATATTTACTGTGAATTGAAGATACATCATCATTTGCTTTACGCTGAAGATTTCATCACGGTAACGAGAAAACAGCTTTCCCACTGACCTTGATATCTTTGGCTTTCTTCATCCTGTCGTCGATCGTGTGAGATCTACGTTTATCATGATGCCTTGTGACAGGCCTGGATGAGACGGATGATGTTGGTAACGACGACACAGAACCGTAACTGGCAAGGCCCCTGGCTTTTCGTCTTTTCTTCACACTTCCGCCGAGCAATTTCAATACCTAGTACCATCAATAACGCGACTTTATTACAGCTTTCCGCGACGGAGCCGTACATTTCATTTATATACATATGTAATTTAATGTTGCAATATTGTTTTCACACCGTCTGTTTATACATATTCATTAGTTATGTCAGAAATGATTGCTAGAACCTGCTATATTACAAATTTCTATATAAATATAATGGAACTTTGTTGTATGCGTTAGAACGAGCACGCTTTTAAAAATCATTCAGAATTAGATTTGCCAAATTTTTCAAGAATGTATGTTTGCGTTACTGTGAAAGCCTGAACTGCGGTAAATGTTAAGATTTCCGCGTAAATCTTAATATTTACCAACCAATGTCGGTATAAGTCTGAAATATTATGAAATCGATATTTATTTTCTGCTTTTACCAAAATTAACACATTTCCGTCGGACGACGAACATATGCGTCATTCAGGTATTCACTTGGATTCCGAATGACGCGAAATACGTCATTGAGATTTTCACATATCTGTCTGAAAGTAAATTTATAAAACGCTGTAAATGATCGAATTTCTTTTCAGAAATGCCGTGACAGATGTTTCACGAATTCTAATAATCGTATACGTTTTACGAAAAAGTAATTTACCACATTCTTGAAAATTTCTTTGAAAAATAATAATTAGTTGAAAAGTGACGATTGAAAGAAAAGACGCGAAATCACCCCGTGCACATGTTAAGCGCTGCTCTAAGAGCCCCGTCGCCAATGTGTTAATTGACAAATCTTAAGATTTACCTAGGCGCAGGCAGTCAGATTAGGTTGGGTTCAAAAATGTATATACAGTTGCGGTCATTTTTAGAACAGTATAACTTTTTTGAAATTGAACCAAATGATTCGAGAGTTTTTGAGAAGTCAGAAGGATTAGTTTACTATATGACGTGTACCAAAAATTTGAAGAAATTACAACTTTTAACTGTTTTAACTTATAGCACCGTTAACCGAATTCGATGAAATTTTTAAAATCGACCTTCACTGTATTCTTTCCCGATTTCAACCAATTGTAATTTTTTCAAAATTTCTGGTACATGTCATCTAGTAAACTAATCCTTCTAACTTCTCAAAAAAACTCAAGTCATTTGGTTCAATTTCAAAAAAGTTATACTGTTCCAAAAGTGACCGGAAATTAATGACCGCAAAGTGTGTGTAGTCTAACCCAAGCGTAGAGATATCCTCAGAAATTTAATTTATCTTCAATAGTTTGTGACTATAACGTCAGTCAATGTAACTGCATTTCTTAATAAATGCTAATAATATGTAATTTTGTCGGTTTACTACAAAAAACAACTCTTACCAGGTACCAGCAGTAGGTAAGTCTTAATTTAAACCAATACATATAAATCGGTAAAGGTCTGGAAACACAGATTGTTACGTTCAAATAGTAACTTTTACTGCGAGTTATTGGTAAATCTTAGGATTTGCCGGAAAAATCTAACATTCTCCGATATTCGGGCTTTTACAGTAACATATGTACGTGTTTATCAATGTTTCCTACTGAAAAGATGAAATGTAAATAGTAGTCTCTTTAAATAGTAAGTACTCTCAGTATGTACGTTTTCTGTGTAAAACACAGGAAGATATAAATTTAGATGTAGTTTCCTTACATAATATTTCGTAATGTACCATGTAATCAACAAACAAGGTGTATACAATTATACGTGAGAAAATGTTACTGAAACTATTGTTACCGCGAATGAAATTCACGAGAATAATAAGGTGTTGAGTAACAAATGTTGTGTTGTTAAGAAATTTTAGATAGTGGCAACAAAAAGTGACAGCTACGTGTTCGACGATTTTTAATTAAACTTTTTCTGATGGATCCAGAGGGGAAATAGGCAGATTCGTATCTGAGTATTTTATTCAATGCGTATTGTTTGTAAGCATATTTAATGGAAAAACTTTCGGTACTCTATATGTATCTGATTTTTGAATATAATTATGGAAGACGATAACGAACTGCATAGCGTTCTAGCCTGGTGACTCGAGGGTCTCTCGGTTGGTAGTAATTGCAATTTATCACTATTACAGTACTTTTTCAATGCTATCATTTATTATTTACTTGCTAAAGTATTATTTACGAAGCTGGCTTTATTATTCGATACCGAAGGAAGTATGAACACTAAACAAAAGTAAAAACAAAGGAATAGATATGTAAAAAAGATGTATATATCATGATTTTTTACATGATTTGGGAAGAAACTGAATTCACATCATAAGAATAGTTTCTTTTTTTATTTAAGCAATTCTAATCTCCATTGAGATTATTTTGTGTTAATAGTAAATAATTCGTGACATTTAAAAAACATTACAACGATTGATGTCAGTCAAGCTAGAATTAAAAAAACAAAAAACTACTGAAAACAACAGCTTCAGTTTGGAATTTAAACGTTTTTCGAGTTCTGAGACTGGAATGCTACTAAATTTGCCATCATCATTCTCCGTAATTATTACACAAAATTACGTACACGTATGTATACATGTAAAGAAAGAGCTATAAACATTATAACAACATTATTATTATTGCAGTTACACACTAATATTTAATTACAATTAATAAGTTTATACTTATAATATTAAATTACTCTTTCATAGATTTCACTCATTTGATCTTTTACATGATTCAATATACACTACCGGCCAAAAGTTTGGAATCACCTGCCAATTTACATTAACATTGAATCTGTTACTAATTCTTTATTGATTTGAAATTGATGTTGTGGAGATCAATAGCACCTTATCTTGAATGATAAAACATTCGTTAAAAAATTATTACGCACAAAAAGTTTGCAACGCACAGTGCTTCCAAACATTTGGCCGGTAGTGCACGTACTTTTGACAAGTACAACCCAGCAAAAATAATTTACTAACATTCCACGACTAAAAGTGTTAACAGCTGCAAACACATACTTGTATGCATGCATTTATCGGAAGTTTTAAACATTCCATACAACATTTCGCACAAAAGAAGAAAGTTTCCGATTCTTCCTTTTTCTAACAACTACTCTGAAATTCTGTAAAATTCTGTTCGTAACGTTTCACCTGATAACAACAAATAAAAACTGTATACTTATCATGTTCGTTATTCAACGAAATAAACGTAAGTAGATGTAATATCATTACATTCCTCTAAATAAATCGCATAATAAAATACTGCTTGTATCGTGTCTCACCTCGCTATACATATTTTCTAAACCCTCTAGCTGCTTCCTAATCGTTCTCGCGTCGTTCGTGCTTAAATCAGAGTCGCTTCTATCCAGCATCGAGTCTAAATCGAGCCCAGTCGTAGTGGAAGTTAAGTCAGCCGCTTCCACGCCGAAAACTAAATAAATGATTCGCGCTTATAGCCTCGGGGAGCAAGTAACAATCAACAGCAAAAGCAAAGGAAGATTGAAGGCTACTCACGATGAGAAAACTTCTTTGCAGCTTCTTTCTTGGAAGCGGAGGCACCGCGATGCTTCGAACTGCTCGAGAACCCTCTCTTCTCCATGGCCTTGCTGTAATCGCTGTAATTAGGTTTCGATCCGTATGGTAAGCTAAAAGGCCCACAAACATGCAACTGTTAAGATTACCGAGAGAGCCACGGGAAGATTTAATTACCGCAGAAGTGTGTAACAGAGTTTCTATCTGTAATAGATTGCATCCAAAGTACTACTAATTAGATCGTGACATTATAAGATATAAATCTATGATATAAATTAGAAGATTTGGAATTCTGTGTATACAGAGTTAACCGCGTAACTGTCGCCACGATTTTTTTAGCCACTTCCGACGATCTGACGATAACTTTGTTTCGAATAAAAGTTTTTCCCGTAAAAAGTCACTGTTGCAGCTGACGTTAACCCCTTAACATATGATTTCTTTTCCGACTATGCATGTAGACGTCAGCTATTTACTGCTTCAGTACTGTATCAGGTAACAAAAGCTGATCTATTGCAGATTACTTACATTCAGCAATCCTCAGTCTTACAAATTAAAACGAAAATTAGGATAAAAATTAATTTGTCTTACTGATATAACTATTTTTCTCACATCTTCACCAGAATCTCTGCCACGAGTCTGACTCGTTGCTATAAGTCAAGGGGTTAAGGCGAGTGCAACGACCTACTGTAGTATGACCTTGAAATCACCATGAATCTTGAAATGTCGGTTTAATCGAGGGAGATGTTATCACATAGATGTTACACATTTCACACTGGTGTGTTTGAGTAAGAAAAGAGGTTAATTATACGCACATTGTAAAAGGAGCATAAACAGTGTACAGATATAAATACAACTTGTGCAGTGTTGTAGGTGACTGATTTTTTTACGGAAAGACAACTTTTTGGAAATTTCTTATCTTGAAATTTGTAGCCGATTGAAAGCTGATCAACTTTATTGAAAACATTTTTTTGTGGCCTGAGAAATCGTGGACGCCCTGTATATACTAAGTTGTAACAAACGAAAGATTGCATTGATACGACGAGTATGTAAATGAATTCTGGTACATTTGCTTTTGTAAATTGATATTTTTTATTGTACATTTTGGAAATAAAATGCACGAATGTATTGCAAGAATTTCAGGAAGTGGTTGAAAAGAAAGGATAACGAACCAGAGCTTTGTGTAAATGAGAAAAGGTCATTCAACAGAAAACAGCATGAGTGATTTTGAAAATCGAAGAAATTTTCCAGTCGCTGCGTCGTTATGAAGAAAGGTACTTAGATGGCCTGCTTTAAGGAAGACACCTTGTATATCTGAAGATGCTCTTGAAATTTAAGGAAGACTGATTAAAAAATTGTTACGTAGCATTGACCAAAATATAAACAATTTACATGCTCTTACGTATCGAATAGTTTAAAACAGACTAGAGTTTAGTAAAGTAGTGTTAAAAAGGTGGGAAACGAAGCGAAGCTAATTTTATAATCGTTAGTTCAGTTACATACTCTACTAAAGCAATAATATTTAGTTAGTTATTACAATAATATTTCCAAACTATCTGTCACTGCGTTTTCGCGCTACTTTCTAAAACAGTACTGTGCGATTTTAACAGTGAAATAAGAACATTAACTACTTCATAACTGTTCGTCACGTTTTTCTTCAGAATTTTTAATAATTTCTCCAAATTATTTTGTTCACTTTCTTACAAAATATCGCTTCGTGGTATTTTTTCCTTGCGTGCCCTTCCAACTGCACCCATTTCGTTTAAATTTACCATATCATAAATAGCAGGTCGACAAAGCCTTCTTTATACGTTACAATATCACAGATTTTATTTTTGAATTGTCGGCCATCGGCAGCTTTTATAATGTAAAATAAACAAAACAGAAAGGAAGGAAAGGAGGGTGGTCTAGAAAATAAATAGACTCGAGGCTTCATTCTAGTTTCTCAATATGTTCGCTGTCCCTGAAAAGGTGTACCGGCCTGTCTACACTCAACAGTTTGATCGGTCGGTCTCTTTAGCACACCGATATCGGTGTTTCGATCTACGCGAAGGGTAGAAATAATCGGAAGTAGCCGAGGGCAGTGACCGGAACTGACATCGGTTACCAGACGAAAAGATCTGTTTGAAGCAACGTTACCTCGCTGAGTATCGATTTCTCGGTGTTCTGGGACTTTCATGGGGTGAAAGCGGCGGCAGGGGTGGCGTTACCGATGATACACTTTCAGATAGAGTAGAATGCGCCATCGCAGGGACATCTCTTGGCTCTAAAATACTCCTCAACTCTGATTCCACTATGTCCACCCACTCGGAGTCTTGCACTGTTCAAATACAGAAGAATTATTATTTCCATGTTTTTCACGCGCAACGAATATAAAAATTAATAATTCAACCCGAAAACATCTCATTTGCTTCCGTTTTATCACAAGAGAACGTATTTTTTATAACCTATTTTACGTTTCTTTGTTTCTGTTTGTTCGCAGGTAACGTGTATTTCCTGAGGATTATTTTAAAACAGTGAAAATACGTACTTGTTATTCTTTCTTTGTAGAACCTTCTTATTGGTTCGTATTTTAAATAGCCGGATATTTTCAATTTACTTTACGTAACTTTCTAATGAATTTTTATTATTACCAGGGATTATTTCTGAAAATTACTCCTGAGTGTAAAAGAAGCTTTAAATATTCACGGAAATGTACGTAAATTCCAAGTTTTCTACCTCCAAAAGAATAACACTGCTTTTGTTGCATTACAAATAAGATAATGCTAATTTAAATACTTTGCTTTTTATTTTCTTCTGCAGTTACTTTACTGTTCCGAAAGTGCTCTGCTTAATACCATAATAATACCATAATACGAAACATCGCAAGATAAAACGCCGTAATATAAAAACGAGACAATGAATTTGTAAAATTTCAAACAGTGGCACTTAAGAATGCTAAGAAATTAACAAACGAAATATGTATAACATTTAGATATTAAAATTGTGTCAATGACGTTTATTTAGTTAATATTATCTCCCTTGAGGTTTGTAAGTCAGATTTCTGGAACACATTACTAAAATATTCCTGCTAATTAAATTATACTTTTGTAACGGAAAGCAAATTGCTGTCTTAAGAAGTTTTATCGAAGTTTATATTGTTACTAATTTCCTTCAGTCACTAATTTCGTGCCTTTAGCAGTTTCTATTCACAGGAGCATGTCGCTCAAAAATTAATAAAACTGGTAAATCGTAATTTATTCACAAACATAACAAATGTTCGTATGATTCATTTTTACGAAATTTTCTTCCAAACATGTATTTAACCCTTTCGCGACGGTGGAACTAGCCATCGGTACGCCACTAACGAACGGGTCGTCGTGCCATTAGTGCACACCATACGCATTAAGAGTATCTCGCGTTTTTTCAAATCTTAGAGGATTTC